TGCCTCTGAACATCATGAGCAGAACACATGAGTACCACACTCTACATTCATAGCAGGATTCGAGTCCAGAATTGGAATGTGTTTCCGACTCCCAACCCTAGAGCGCTGTGCTGAGCCGGGTCAGATCGGGCGAGTTCTGATGGTGTGTGTGTGTGTGTGTGTGTGCAGGACGGGAAGGTGCGCCTGTACTCTGTCCAGGGAAACACCCTGAAGCATGATGGGAAGGTGCTGGAGGTCCAGGGGCCCGTGACGGACATGTGCTACTCGAAGGACGGGGCGTTCCTGGCCGTGACGGATGAGAAGAAGGTCGTCACTGTCTTCACCGTCGCAGACGGATACACGGTACACTCCTCTCTCACACACACACACACACACACACACACACACACACATCTGCGACGGATACACGGTACACTCCTCTCACACACACACACACACACACACACACACACACACACACACACACACATACATAGACACATACACACACACACACACACACACACATCTGCGACGGATACACGGTACACTCCTCTCACACACACACACACACACACACACACATCTGCGACGGATACACGGTACACTCCTCTCTCACACACATCTGCGACGGATACACGGTACACTCCTCTCACACACACACATACATAGACACATACACACACACACACACACACACACACACACATCTGCGACGGATACACGATACACTCCTCTCACACACACACACACACACACACACACACACATCTGCGACGGATACACGGTACACTCCTCTCTCACACACACACACACACACACACACACACACACACACACACACACATCTGCGACGGATACACGGTACACTCCTCTCACACACACACACACACACACATACATAGACACATACACACACACACACACACACACACATCTGCGACGGATACACGGTACACTCCTCTCTCACACACACACACACACACACACGTCTGGTCCACCATCTTTGTGGGGACTCTCCATAGACGTAATGGTTTTTATACTGTACTATATTCTGTCCCCTTACACTAACCCGACCCCTAAACCTACCCATCACACACACACACACACACTAACCCTACCCCTAAACCTACCCAACACAGAAGACTTTCTGCTCTTTTACATGTTCTAAAAAACATCATTAAGTATGTTCATTAATCAATTTCCCTTGTGGGGACCATTGGCTAGTCCTCACAATGTAATAAAAACAAGCACATCAGCGACGGATACACTGTACACTCCTCTCTCACACACGCTCACTCACTCACACACACACACACACACACACACACACACACACTAACTCACACACACACGTTTTACTTTTTTCTGAGACACACACTTGTGTCCACTGTGGAGCTGTGTGTCGCTGCTGTGCTGGGCGCTCGAGGGTCCGTCTTCAGCTCACTGGTGTGAGTGTAAGCTGTGTGTGTTGCAGGAGAAGAGCGAGTTCTACGGCCACCATGCGAAGGTGGTGTGTGTGTCCTGGTCCCCTGATAACGAGCACTTGGCCACGGGCGGGATGGACATGATGGTGTACGTGTGGACCGTCAGCGACCCCGACAAGAGGATCAAGCTCCCAGGTACTCTCCGCCTCCTCATTCATGCAGCGCAGTGTGTACATTATACATACTGTATAAAGAATCTTCAATCAGTCCCTCCAGAAAAACGCGATTATGCGATCGCTGAATTCAATGCATAATCAGCCAAAGTCCGCATATTTATGCGGGGGTCGCATTTTTTCAAATACTCCGCAATTTCGCCGCATAATTTGCTGATTTCCGCGCAAAATATCCGGGGCTTGCATGATTTCATAATCCCCGCATTTTTTTCGCAAAAAAGTCACATATATCTTAGCAGAAAGTTGGAAAATGTTGCGTTTGCTTCAGGGGACGTTATGAAGTGACGTAATTACGCGACGTGAACATCATTGAAAAGCTGTAAAACAGGAGCACACTTTATTTTTAAATATTTCATTTATTCATTTTTACTGAAGTTGTAGCATATTCCTCTAGTAAAGCTACAGAACTTGTTTGACTCAGCAATGTTTTGTAAGTTTGATGTGTTTATTAAGGTCTTGTAAAGCGTTGTGTCGGGAAGAAAAATAGGGATAGCTCACAGCTGGAGTTATTGCAGAGGCCAGACAGACTCACGGAGGCAACTCGCACTTTATTCCACAATCGAACTCGTAACTGTCTGTCACACGTTCTACCGTCCACAGCGTTACTTAATTAACAAAATAAGATAAAAGAAGTAGCATCAAACAGAAATAACCCGCACACATGGGGTGTTTGAGGCGCACATACAATATAATAACGTTACTGCAGACAGTTCAACAGGGAGCGCGCAGCTCTTAAAGGGGCCACACCTTATTTCCACTCGTTACAGTCTGAAATAAAACAAGATGAGAAATTAAATATTTCCAGCACTTTCTGTGATGTAGTGCTTGCTTATCATAGGAGTAATAAGAAATAGCTCTTTACATTAAGGTAGTAGCCTAGTGAGAACAGGGTGTTGGGGGAATCACTTTTTTTTCTCTTTTTCATCAAACGTCAGTTTTTGCAAGTTCCCGCAATTTTTGCAAGTTCCCGCAATTTCATCGCAAAAAATTGCATAAATATCCCGCATATTCCATCGCATTTTTAAAGAAAACGGTCCGCGTAATCAAGGATTTTTGCCCGCAACAATCACAAAAAAACTCTGCGTTTTTGTGGAAGGACTGTTCAATACGCCATTTCTACATCATTACGCTATTTCTACATTGCGTTATTTCTACATCATTTCTACGTCATTACGCTATTTCTACATCATTACGCTATTTCTACATCATTGCGCTATTTCTACATTGCGTTATTTCTACATCATTTCTACATCATTGCGCTATTTCTACATCATTGCGCTATTTCTACATCATTACGCTATTTCTACATCATTACGCTATTTCTACGTCATTACGCTATTTCTACATCATTACGCTATTTCTATGTTATTACGCTATTTCTACATTGCGCTATTTCTACATTACGATATTTCTACATCATTGCGCTATTTCTACATCATTACGCTATTTCTACGTCGTTACGCTATTTCTACGTCGTTACGCTATTTGTACATCATTACGCTATTTCTACGTCATTACGCTATTTCTACGTCGTTACGCTATTTGTACATCATTGCGCTATTTCTACATCATTACGCTATTTCTACGTCATTACGCTATTTCTACGTCGTTACGCTATTTGTACATTACGCTATTTCTACGTCATTACGCTATTTCTACGTCGTTACGCTATTTGTACATCACGCTATTTCTACGTCATTACGCTATTTCTACGTCATTGCGCTATTTCTACGTCGTTACGCTATTTCTACATCATTACGCTATTTCTACATTTCTACGTCATTACGCTATTTCTACATCATTACGCTATTTCTTCATCATTGCGTTATTTCTACATTGCGTTATTTCTACATCATTTCTACGTCATTACGCTATTTCTACATCATTACGCTATTTCTACATCATTTGCGCTATTTCTACATTGCGTTATTTCTACATCATTTCTACATCATTGCGCTATTTCTACATCATTACGCTATTTCTACATCATTACGCTATTTTTACATCATTACGCTATTTCTACATCATTACGCTATTTCTACATCATTGCGCTATTTCTACATTGCGCTATTTCTACATTGCGCTATTTCTACATTGCGCTATTTCTACATTGCGCTATTTCTACATTGCGCTATTTCTACATTGCGCTATTTCTACATTGCGCTATTTCTACATTGCGCTATTTCTACATCGTTACGCTATTTCTGTCATTGCGCTATTTCTACATTGCGCTATTTCTATGTCATTGCGCTATTTCTACATTGCGCTATTTCTATGTCATTGCGCTATTTCTGCATCATTACGCTATTTCTACATTGCGCTAATTCTACATTACGCTATTTCTACATCATTAGACCTTAGTTGACTTTAGACATTTGGTTGCATGTAAACGTAGCCACTGAGATGGACTTCAGGGAATGACCCTTGTGTGTGTGTGTGTGTGTGTGTGTGTGTGTGTGTGTGTGTGTGTTTGCAGACACCCATCGGCTGCATCACGTCAGTGGTCTGGCCTGGCTGAACGCCAACACACTCGTCACGACGTCTCACGACGCCTGCATCAAACAGTGGACTCTGAAGATCTGAGACTCAGACCAACACAACACACTCTCGCTCTCGCTGTCTTTCTGTCGCTCGTCCTCTTTTCCTCCGTCTGTTCATCACTGCTGCTCTCGCGTCTCCGGCGGGTCCGTGCGGAAGCGCATTCACACCACATCTGGAACTGGGGTTATAAAGTTGAAATTGTAATATACTTATAATAAAATATAACAAAATATTATGTAGAAATTGACAAGTCTAGATTATTACATACTAAGATGAAATTGCTATGAAGTTGAAAATGGCTTAAAGTCATAATTATGTTTATAAAATTTTGACCTATGTCATAATTGACTTAGTCGGAATTGCCTTAAGTCATAATTACGACATTTGTAAATTTTGACTTAAGTTGAAATATAAAATACTAAATTGAAATTGTGTAGAAATACAGGTGAAATTGACTTAAGTCATAATTATATGTCGATTTCATCTTTGTCAATGTCAACTTTGTCAATTTCGATTTAACGTGAATTACAACTTTGTCAATTTCAACTTTTTGTCAGTTTCGATTTAACGTCAATTTCTACATAATTTCAACTTAGTATATCATATTTCAACTTGGGTCATAATTATGACTTTTAAGTCAAAATTGGCATACTAAGTCGAAATTTACACTGACTTAAAAAGTCAAAACTGACTTGACTTCATAATTATATCAAAAAGTCTAAATTGACATACTAAGACGAAATTTATATGTGTGTCGAAATTGACCAAGTCATACTATGACTGTCATAATTATGACAATTGCAATTGATTTGAAATGCTGAAACTGACTGGTCTAAATTGACACCTAGTGGAAATGTACATACTCAATCGAGTTAAAGTGCTGAATTAAAAAGTCATAATTATGACATTTTTATCTTTTGTTATGAGTTGTAATGTCATAATTCTGATTCTGTTGTGGTGTAAACGGGCTTCCGTGGGAGATCAGCAATAGAACAGACATCAAACACTTGACCTTCCAGAACAAAACATGTGACCAGAGTCTGTGTCATGTGACATTCCAGAGGCAGGGGTCAGAGTTCACGAGGTGCGCCTGAACCCTGATGTGGCCTGAGAAGAGAACGTTAGGGAGCAATAATCAAACCAATAGCAGATCGTCTCTGTGTGTGTGTGTGTGTGTGTGTGTGTGAGAGAGAGAGAGAGAGAGAGAGAGAGAGCTCGTGCGACAGTATTTCGCTCTCTTCTAACCCTCCCGTGATGTTTATTTTCTGTGTTTTTGTTGGATGTCTCTGGTTCATTTTTCATTGGGTGGATGTGATTCATAATTATATTAATAATGATAATAAAACACTTTTTATGCAATTTTCCCTGTCAAGTTTCTGTCTTAAAACTGATTCACAGACAGTCACACACACTAAAAAACAAGTGCAGGTCATGTTTTCTCCTCAGTATTTTTGTCTTTTTTTCCCAGTACGAATATCTAAACCAGGGTTCTCAAGTCTCACGCATTGGCCGTGAGACACACGCAATTCAACCAGTTCACACGCTCACACGCCACACCGTGTATATCTCACTAGTAGGGTAGGAAGGGGGGGTTCACCTGCACCGAAAGATATATTTTTTTAACCTAGTTTTTTGTAATCCTTAAGGTGTCTAGAAAAGGAATTTTGATGTTCCCCACGCCAATTATTGTCCCATATGTGATTTTTTGTATCATCTTTAGTGTCCGTGCTTGAATTTCGGCTGCGGAAAATGAAAACTTAAAATCTACATAGAATCTGAACAATACATCCTACAGACACAATCTACCCCATTTTCTCTTCGTCTTTGCATGAGGAATTGATAGATATGACAGACTGATCTCATGAAATGGCGTATGTATGACACGCCAATTCGTATTTCCATTTTTGGCGTGCTATCAACACGCATAATCGCTTTTCAGCGTGTTTATCAACGCCTTTGACTAAACGTTATATTACTGTATAATGTATATATAAATATATGACCTACCCCAACCCCGTCCCTAAACCTACCCGTCACTGGGGTTAATACCATTTATGAGTCTTCTCCTACCATCCTAGGAAAAGAAATATCGCTCCACAGATGTAGATATAGATTTTGCTTCGTTTCGCTCGGACATTTAACGGCGTACACATACACGCGGAATCACTCGGACATTCAATGGCGTAGACATACACGCAAAAGATTTCGGCGTGGACATACACGCGGATAGCTCAAAATGCGTATAGATAACACGCCACTTGAATTGAAAGTGGCGTGTATGTTTACGCAAAGTCATGATGTCATGTTGGATATGAGGATTGTCATGATTAGATGATGTATAGTGCATACAAACTCAAATAAACACCAAAAAATGTACAAAAAAATGGTAACTTGGACCACTGGAACTCCTCCCCTATGGACCCCATTGATATATGTATTCTAACTTTTGTTTTTTTACAGTCTTTAAAGTCCCTGTAAAGTCAAAATTAAGTATGTGTTTTGAGTTTGTCACACCACAGAAAAATGTGTTATTAGCCACCCAGCCAAATTTGAATGATAAAAAAAGCCAGCAAGTACATAAAATAAGCTATCAAAATCTTGAAAAAATGAGCAGTAATCTCTGCTCTCAAACGCTGGGGGCGTGTCCACTGGCTGCGCTGAAACCACTCGCGGGAAAACTGCCGTCGTCGACTCGCCACACTCAACTCTACAGCCGGAATGGATGCTCGCACGGTGGGCACGCACTGCCGATGATGGCACCAGTTGTCGGCGCGACGGGAGGATGAAGGCTGAGGCGGGAGTCGGTTCGGCCCCATTCACCAGTAACAGCGGATTATCAGTGAATCCCAGACAGTTATCTCCGACGAAAGTTTATAAAACTATCCCGTGTAAAATGATTACTTACCAGGCGCGGATTTATGGGCGGGCCTGGGTGGGCACGTGCCCACCCAGATTGACAGGTGGCCCACCCAATCAGATTCATAAAAACAATTAATTTTAATAATATTGATGAATTAAGTTTGGCCATATACGACCCGCCGAACACTTTATATGATATACGACAAGCGCTGAGCGCGTCCATCTCTGGCTCAGCGCCAGCCAACGCGCGAACGCACAGTTTGAATCTGGCAGTTATGTCATTTCACTGTACTGTATTTTGTCCAGACTTTGAAACCCTTGCAAGGAGAGGCGACGAGGCTCATTGTTCACATGAACACCATGTCTTGGAAAGACAAAGACTAAGGGCCCGTTCACATATCGCGTCTTTTGCGCGCTCAAGTTTGTTATTTCAAATGTAGGCCTACAGATGTTACAAATGTTATTTCCATTCATAATGGAAAGAACGTGGTCAGGCGTCTGATTGACTCGTCAAACGCGTGCGTTTCGACAGCCAAGGGACGCACGATTTGCATTAAAAGCGTGCGTTCTTAATGTGCGCTTTGTCCCAGATAGCAATGAGTCGGCGGACCACCGTCGGCTCTCCGGCGGCAGTAGAAGCGTCAGAATGGCGACATCGCAAACACGTTGGACGGCGCACCGCCGGCGGCAGCCGCTTTTTAAAAGCGGCAGCCGCCTTCCTACCGCCTTCGTTAAGCGGCCGGCCCGCGGGCCAACCGCCGTTCCGCCGCCTTTATATTGAAGGCCGTCCTTCCGCGGCCCGCCGGAGGCAAACGCTGTTTTCGAGCGCTCTGCCGCCGCTTATTCTGGCTATATATATATATTTTTTATTTATAGCATGCAGTTTATCAAGAATAATGATTGCTCAAACCAGACAAATTTACAATTGGCATTTTTATTCCACATTTCAAAGTACAGTAACTGTCATTTAAACAAGATGTTTCAGATAACTGAAAGATAACAGAAAAATAAATAAATCAATATACTAACATGCAGGTTTCCAATTCAATTTTGGTTAAACAGCCTTACAAGCAAATTACAACACTTACAATAAGTGTTCATATAAAAAGGACAGGTCTAGGGTAAAAAATTACCAGTAAACATTATGACAAGTAAAGAGGATATTTGATACCAAATAATGTGCAAGATACCAAATAAATAAAAGTATAACTACATTTACAAGCCATTTCTAACAATATGATAAGTGGTAGTAATTTATAGTAAAGCTCTGGAGTAGAACAGGCCATTGTAACGGCAATGCTGACCTGTGGCACAAGGATTTACAAGCTTTATTTGAAAAAGAAAAAAAGAAAGTAATTTCCACAGTGAGTGAGTGTAGTCTGACACTTCTGACTTCTTTAGGGGTCTTGATTCTACTGACTGCAAGATAAAGAAAGGATTCCAGTTGTCAGTGATTCTGGGGTGTCAGTAGTCAGTCTAGTTTTAAGTGGTCGGCTGTGGGTCCCTCTCAGCTGTGCGGCGCCTTTTTCTGCCTTCACGGTCAGATGCTCCTTTCAGGTAACGCGTAACGTTAACCTGGACCGCCTCATCAGTGCATCCTGGGTTGCCGGGTCCTTCCGGATGGCTAATATAGAAAATACAGATCTGTCATTTAATTTGAATTGCATGAGGACAACAGGACATACACATCTACTTAAATCTAAAAAAAATATCCAACTTACTTTGAACAATGGTCTTCAGGAACATGTCTCTAAAACATGCTTTATCCTCTACACCAAGCTGAAAATCCAAAAAAGTGTTACAAATTACATTTCTCTGAAGCTTCTCATAAATAAATAAAAAATGTGAAAGGCTAAGGATTTAGACTGTAATATATGCAGTATACAATCTTAAATTTTACTTTATATCTAGGTCTACTACATGTACAGGTAGCCCCAGTGGGAATTAAACCTACAACCACAGGTGCTGTTTGCAAGTTGTACCTAATTGCTCAGTGCAAGCAAACGTCTTCAACATTGTTTGTTTAACTTGCTTCACCTGCTCTTGAAGTAAGATTTTACAATTCGTATTTTTATATGTAATATTGTAGTGTTTATTATAAATGATTTATCTGTGCACTTCATTATTCTTTTAAAATTCATGTAGCCTTATAATCTTTAATCAAATACGTTACCCTTACCTCCCCCCTCGAAACGACTTCTCTTCTCTTCCGGTCATGTGCTATGGCGCGAGGGCGTGGCAACTCCCCTCAAACCGTGCTATGAGCAGAGATGGAGAACAGGAGCGCTAGAGTAAAACCCTGCCCTCCGTTCAATATACCGTTTCACTTTTAAATACGTCACAACACTGGAGAAAAGTCGTTTGTAACTTCCGGTTCATGCCGACTTCAAATAGAAGCAATAGTTTCCAAGACAAAAAAAACTTCACAAATAACATCACTTACTTGTACTCAAACTCTTGGCTCTGTGAAGTGGAGTCTGGATTACTGGGGAGAAACCTGGTTGCGAGAAAGAGGAAACAGAAATTTGAAAATCTAGCAAATGGTATAGTTTAGTGGCAGGATCACAAATCCAGCATCACAGCAATAGATTTTACATACCAGTTCAGCATTTTCCTGGTTTTCTGGAATCGATGCATCTTTCTAGAGTTTTTTTTCTTGAGACTTCCAAGATTCTAGAGTAGGGAATAATGAATGAAAGAGTCAGTTATCCACAATAAACAGAAAATAAATTACACAGATGAAATACAGGAAAATCAAATACACAAGTCAGACCCATTTACCTGCTCCCTTCATGAACTTAAAATGATGTTTCTCCCAGGTGCTGTGTGGAGGTGTGCAGAGGATGGCTAAATTGTTGCCTTCGTCTTTTTGCTGAGGTTAAATGGGGGCCAATGGCACATGCTCTCGCTGAGCCACTCTTGCGGAACCACTGCAAATGGCAGATCCTCCTCGTTGATAAACTGAACAATGTGAACCATCTAAAATAGAAGAACATTTTGCATAAAGTATACTTTTTGATTAATTTCCAGGCAAAATCAATAACATTAAAATGCTCACCCCTTCAAAAAACGAGTCATTTTCACAAGTGGATCGACAGAAAACCATGTTCAGACAAACACAATCATATATATATATATATATATATATATATATATATATATATATATATATATATATATATATATATATATATACATATACATAAATCGTTATTTTTGTAAGAAAACACCAAAAGTTAAACTTTCTAGATGTAAAGCTTTCTTTCTAGATGAAGCTTTGGCGATCTACTGTAGCTAGATACATTTCAACATGTCGAACATGCTTGAATTCAGTGAGTAAAAAAGGCGAAGCAGCATGTGTTAGCTAACACTGTAAGTTAATCTAGACTAGCAGCATGGTTGTCGAATCAAAGAAAACATCATTATGTTTAGTTAGAAAACAACACAAGTTATACTGATCAGTCTTTCTTGTCGTAAAGATTTTGCTAACGTTACCATTCCCACGTGGGCGGGAGAATTGTCCTTCAGGATTTGGTTACGTAAGTTAGTTAATTATTCGACTGACCAATACTATCTTAAACCACATACTGTAGTACTCACACTTGCATAAACATACGTAAATATAGTTAAAAGAAGAAAAGGAAAAAACTAACGCCCGGAAGAAACTAAGTAACGTTAGCCTAACTAACGTTAGCTATGTCAGAAACATGACGAAAACTTTGTAAACAAGGCTAACTTACTAGCTTGACTAGTAAGGCAAGAACATATTTGAAAAAGATGAACTAAAAATGTAAAAAATGAACATAATATTGCGTTACACAAAAAGGAAAAATGTACTTACTTTAAAGATCGTAGTCAATGACTAGATAGGATATCCTCTCCAAATACTGAAATCGTGTGACGAGTGGCCACTGTTGTGTTGGTAAATCTGCTTCCGTTTTTTAGGTACTGCCCCTCTCGGCCGGTGGAGGTACTTCTCTGTTTGTGCTTTAATACTTTCTTAAACATTTGTACAGATTGCAAAACTCGCAATTGCAAATTAATCCCTTACCTGTAAAAGGTAAAATAAATAAAAAAATCGAGCTTGTAAAAAAATGAAAGACATAAACGAAATTTCCTGGGGTGACAGAGAGACAAAATATTTCTAAATATTTCACTTTATCTTTCAGGTCAAAACAGGGATTTTCATGTTTATTATAAATATTACCATGGTTGCAAATTAATAAAAAAAAATCTAAAGCATACCCAAGCTTTTGGCCAAGTTGCAGATGTCTTTCACTGTTCACTGATTTCAGGCATTGGTGAAAAGTCTAACTTCATCCATTTATTCTGCTAAATTGTTCATACCATGAATGAAATATTTATTTTAAAACCTAATCAGAATCAGAAAGATATTTATTGCCAAGTAAGTTTTACAAAAGGAATTCTTTTTGGACTATTTGTGCATCTCAATTGTGCATAAATCAAAGAAATGTAAAGAATTGTCACCTTAAGTGAATAAAATAATTCTATATATTTTACATAGGCCTATCACTGAATCGCTTCAGAGTTTCAACGTAATTTAAATGTATTTTCCTAAACCTTATCATGGAATCAGACCGAGTCAAATCTGTTATAAACCCTAATGACTTTGGAGCAACAACAACAACAAAATTTGATATAATTCACATAATAATTATAATCGCTTTAAATGTGAAAGTTAAAATGCTGTCAGTTCCACTCATGCCAATGACATGGCTGGTCGATTTCAAAGCAGCTTGCCGCCAGCCGGCCGCGGTTCATTTAGACGGCGGCAACCGCCAGAGAGAATGAAGTCGGCGGCCCGGCGGCTGTTCGCCGGCGGCATCTCGCAAGAAATGGGAGTGACGTATTCGGCGGCAAACGTTTCATCTCCGCCAGCGGGGCGCACCTATAGCCGACAGTTTGGGGCCGGCGGCAAAAAGAAGCCGTGCCGATATTTTTTGCTATCTGGGGTGGTCACGGAAAACACGCGTCAGAAACACGCGGTTTTTGCATCAAAACGTGCGTCCTGGACGTGTGATCTGCTATTTAAATGAGATTGTTTCTGTCTGCAGGTGTTTATGCATCCGAAGTGTTTTTGTAACAAGAAAAGAAAAACAACTCTCGGTTTCACGTTCACTGTTTTTTTTATTTCAGCACCTCGGACAGACCCCTAATCGCTTCGTTCGAGACACATCTCGCAAATTTTCCAGTTGTAATTCTGGTAACACTTTACAATAAGGTTTCATACGTTATTTTTTATTATTTTTTTTATGCAAAAACCACGAGATTCTGACGCGCGTTTTCCGTGACCACAAAGTGCACGTTTAGAACGCGCGCTTTTATGACAAATCGCGCGTCCCGCTTGCTTTTGACGGGTCAGCTTTTGACTGACCAGGCGTTTATGAATACTTTTGCTTGCCATACGCAAGTGGTGCAGGCTGCAGCGCGCTCGTTTTTCTATGCCGCGACGAGATGAAAACATCTCACCTTTTCAGAGAGCGCCGCAAGCATGTCATGTGATGTGACAAAAACCAACCGTTCAGCTTCGGCCGTATTCAGTTTCCGTAACAACTTCGAAAGCTCGGCCAAACAGCTGATCATAGCTGTACAGTGCGGTTTTTATTTCTCATCGCCATAACTATCTAGTAGCTAATACAAAATCTAGAAACCCTAGATTCAGGCCCACCTCGACTTAACCCAGGCCCACCCATCTGTCACGTTCTGCATCTGCCACTGTTACTTACAGAGGCGGGTTTTGGCGGTGATCCTCAGCTCTCCATCAAGGTTGGCTCTTCACAAAATTAATCCACTTCTTCTTGATGTAATCGTTTTTCGGAAATTTAAACAAGGACACCGATCTGTTTTGTACGTGAACCGGTGATCGCATCCAGGTAGTACGCATTTCCGTGACGAAGGCATAGCTAGTAGCTAGCAATCTGTAGGCTGTGTTGTTACTAATAATAGTACTGACAGTAACTCGCGATTGAGCGGCAAACTGATGTGAATGTGCTCTATATAATATTGTTAGGAGCGGCCAGCCTCAGGGGCTCCAGTGCGTCATCAAGTAGGGGCGTGTCCAGGAGCTCAAGGGCTCCAGTGCGTCATCGAGCCCTGTTTTAGCCCCGCCCAGAAAATCCGGAAAATAGCAATGGTGAAAAACTGTTTAACGATCTAACTCCACAATTCAGTACTTCACAGTTCACAGTCTTTGTAATATGTTTTAGCAATACATTTCTAACATTTATAATGTGTTTAGAATTTTTTTTTTAAATTGCCTTTACAGGGACTTTAAGATGTCTAAGAAGCAAATGTTGATGATCCCCACCTGAAATATTAGGCTTGTTTGAGATGAGCAAAATCTGCGCAGAACCGATCACCGGTGATCAGCGCGAGATGCATGCCGGTTAGAAATGTGTCCGAGTGCGGTCCGCCTTGCTCTGATGTCATGCCGACGTATGTCAAAAAACTCTCGCGACCGCAAGGCGCACGTGTCGGATTCTGCAGTTGCTCTCCACCGACTGCGCTGATCAAAAGCACGATGGGAAACGACTTGCTGACGACACAGCTTAATGCTCATTGGTTTAAACAACCGTGATGTATTGTTCTCCTTTAAAATGTTTGATTTTAAAACTCTGATATCATGTTTTATGTGTATAAATTATCTGTGGATATCCCTAAACTCTCTGACAGTGCGATCTATGTGATGTAATTTTAAAAAATAAAAAATAAAAATAAAAACACATATCTGTATTAGGCTAAAGAAAAAATTATTCATAAACACGTAGGCCTATTTAAAATGGAATTAAATAAGTACTTTGGGTGTCTTGTTCATTATATTTATTTTCATATTCAAAGCAACAAAACTTATTACATCCAGTTTATTAGCAACACCGTGCACGAGTGTGAATCCCGTGAATCCCGCGATATCCGCCTTTGATCTCACAGGTGTCAGATCCACTGCGAGAAGAGCGATCTGTCCGGCTTGCCTGCGCTTTTTTCACTCCTCCTCTCACTGCAGCCGCCTACTCTCGACTACATTTCAGGCGAGGCAAGGCGCATCTCAAACAAGCCTACTGTCACATGTATGTCTTTTCTGGCTATATTGGTTGCCACCCTGGATATCCAAAAAAGAACATTTACATAGGCAGTCTGTTTTTTCTCCTTTAGTTTTTGATTTGATAGATCTCTTCCATTTTCCATAACTGGCTATATAAATTGTTGTTGAGCACATTACTGCTTGTTTCCTACGTCAATTGTAGCACATTAAAAATATAACGTAGATATTTTAAATAAATACATTTTAAGATACAATGTGTTCAAAAATATACATTAATTAAAAATCACATCGTGTAATCAGGATTCACTGGTAGTGTGAGGTTTATTTAACATACACTTTAACTACACATATAGCCTACATGATGCACCAACACACAATTAGAAATATCTTTCTTGAAGAGCATGTAGCATTATGGAAGCCCATATTAACTGGCAGATATTGGTCTCTCAAGGTTTCTGTTAAGTTAAATGTTGCTATGTCTTTTTCAGCTATTAAACTCTCAGAAGTGTTGAGGTTAACCCATTTCTTGGCACACTGAACAAAAGATGCCCAACTCATTTGAGAAAATAAGGTTATTGGGCTTTTTGCCTTAGAAGCAACATGTATACATCAGTTCATATTGTCACCAACCTGCTGTCAATCACATCCCGCTTTGTTGTTATGCGGTGTATGTAAATAAATTAGGTGATAAAAGAGGTCTTCTGACGGTAAGTGCACAATGTATAGTTATATGTATAGTATGTATAGTACACAATGTATTGTATAGTTCGTGTAGACAAAAAGCATATAAAGCCTATTTTAATAGGAGGATTTCGTTATCAAGAGAGCAACGTTACAATATCAACTATGCTGGTGGTCAGGGAGATGTGACAGGTTATCAAGGAGACGGGTGATTTGTTTA